GATCGTGGGGAGCCCCCAGCCCCCCTCGTTCCCAGGTGCTGCTCGCTGTTACTGCGACTCTGAGAGCCGGGCCCTTGGCTCCTGGGGCCTAGCCAGACCCCCGGTTCTGGGGGTCTCAGGCGCCTGCGGCAGAACCCCGCCCCCCTTGAGCGTCCCCTCTGTACTCAGATATAGGACCCTCCTGGGTCCCTCAGTCTTCCCCTGTCTCTCTCCTCCCTTTCTCAGGCTTTTCCACCTCGTTCGGACTCCATAACCATGTCCATCCTCTACGTCTCCCCTCACCCAGATGCCTTCCCCAGCCTCCGAGCCCTCATAGCCGCTCGCTATGGGGAGGCTGGGGAGGGTCCCGGATGGGGAGGAGCCCACCCCCGCGTCTGTCTCCAGCCGCCCCCGACCAGCAGGACTTCTTTTCCCCCACCCCGCCTGCCGGCCCTGGAGCAGGGGCCCGGTGGGCTCTGGGTGTGGGGGGCCACGGCTGTAGCCCAGCTGCTGTGGCCAGCAGGCCTGGGGGGCCCTGGGGGCAGCCGGGCAGCTGTCCTTGTCCAACAGTGGGTCAATTACGCCGACACGGAGCTAATACCAGCTGCCTGTGGGGCAACGCTGCCAGCCCTGGGACTGCGAATCTCTGCCCAGGACCCCCAGGTGAGGGGGGAGGAGAAAAGATTGGGAGGGGGGAAAGTAAGAGCGAGGAGAGGCAAGGATTAGAATGGATAATGAGACAGGAAGATGGCTCGTCAGATGTATAAGAAGATTGATCATATGGCAGATTGCCACCTGGTATGGTAACCTTGGGCAGGTTCTTAAATAGTCTGAGTCTTCATTTTCTTTTATCTGTGAAAACGCTAGTTAATGCAATGCCTACCTCACGGAGTTAATGAGATTAAAAAATGTCAGATTGCCACCTGGTATGGTAACCTTGGGCAGGTTCTTAAATAGTCTGAGTCTTCATTTTCTTGTATCTGTGAAAACGCTAGTTAATGCAATGCCTACCTCACGGAGTTAATGAGATTAAAAAATGGGTGCAGAGCACATAGTCTAGTGTCAGGCCTTTTAAAGTCTCTGAGTAAAAGGTGATGAGTCTGAAACTGAAGAGAATAGAGGTTACTTTGAATTGTAGGAAAAGACTGGGTGAGGGAGAGATGACAGTTGCTGGGAGGAGATAAAGGAGAAATGAAATGAGGAGGGAGAGGAGTTAAGGAGAGCAGAGAGAACCTCACCGGGCTGTAACTGTAAATCCTTCCAGAGCAGGGCTGTGCCTCAGTGTACTTAAAACTCCACCTCCTTGCAGGGTATGGAGCACGTTGTGGGTACTTCATATTTCTTGAATGAATGAATGGATGGATGAATATGTGACATCAGCCCTTTCTCCCTCATATCCTGATCACCCTATCTAAAAGAGTCCTTCTCCCTGGAATTCCCTGTTCACCTCATCCCGCTTTTTTTTCCATAGGAGTTAAGAAAAATAGGGTAATATATTAAATCTTTGCTCATTTATTATCCCCCCAACTAAATGTAAACTCTACCAGGTCAAGGCTCTGTCTGTTGGTGGTGTTGCCTCGTTCCTTAGAGAGGTGCTTAGTAAAAATTTGTAGATGCCCTGGACCTGGCAATTACTGTGTTGCCTCATATAATCTTTACTCTAACTTCTGTGCTTAATATATTGCATCTGACACGTAGTAAGTGTTCAGTAGGGATTAGTTGGATGAATCAGAGTAGTACTTTTATTATGACCATTTGAATAAGAAACTGGCCTCAGAGGTGGTGATTTGTGTGAGTGGGAGTGGAGCGAAGCCAAATGGATTGAGTTGGGGTCGGAGATGGGGTGGGGAATGAGGTGGCCTAAGCCTTGTCTCGCATCTTTTCCCCTTCCTGCCAGGCTGCACTCGGGGCACTGGGCCAGGCCCTGAGCCCCTTGGAGGAGTGGCTTCGGCTGCACACCTACCTGGCCGGGGAGGCCCCCACTCTGGCTGACCTGGCAGCTGTCACAGCCTTGCTGCTGCCTTTCCGATACGTGAGTCACTGGGTCCTGGGGAAGAACAAGGGTGCTCCCCTCAGACCTCACTGTAGGGTTACTAGGGATAGTCATTTCTTTTCTGTCTCAGGTCCTGGACTCCTCTGCCCGCCAGATCTGGGGTAATGTGACTCGTTGGTTCATCACGTGTGTCCGGCAGCCAGAGTTCCGAGCTGTGCTGGGAGAAGTGGTTCTGTACTCAGGGGCCAGGCCTCTCTCTCAGCAGCCAGGTAAGGAAGGGTGGGGGGTGGGAGGTATGGGCTCCTCTGGGGCTTTCCATGAAACTCACTTTCTTTTTTCTCTCAGGAATGGCATAATTACTGGGGCTAGGGTCTGCAAGAGGGTAAAATTGGAGGGCAGCTTGGGCTAGCCATTGGGTAGCCAAAATAGCCCATCTGAAACAGTAGCACTGTTCACAGAGTCCTCAGCAGGCTGAGTCTGAATTTCTTTGCCTCCATGCAGGCCCTGAGGTCGCTGCACCCCCAAAAACAGCTGCTCAGCTCAAGAAAGAGGCAAAGAAACGGGAGAAGCTAGAGAAATTCCAACAGAAGCAGAAGACCCAACAGCACCAGCCATCTCCAGGGGTGGTGAGAGGCTGAGGGTGGAGCTGGAAGGAAGGTTGGTGCCATAGTGGGGTAGCTGATGCTGGACCAATACCTTCTTCCTCCAAATAGAAGAAACCAAAACCAGAGAAGAGGGAGAAACAGGATCCTAGGGTCATTACCTATGACCTCCCAACCCCACCTGGGGAAAAGAAAGGTACTAGGAGGGGAAAGGGACCCCACCCTTCAACTGCTCCTTCCCAGTTTTTACTCGTTCTTGCTCTGTCCTTGCTCCTATCCCTTTGCCTCGTGCAGGCTCCCCACCCCATGCCTGTCCTGTGATGTGAGCAAAAAAGGCGCTGGTCCTTCTCTGCTAGCCTGTCACCTTCCCAGGTGCTCCCAACTTCAGCACTGAGTCCTCCCTTCCTCTCCCTCAGATGTCAGTGGCACCATGCCCGACTCCTACAGCCCTCAGTATGTGGAGGCCGCCTGGTACCCTTGGTGGGAGCAGCAGGGCTTTTTTAAGCCAGAGTATGGGGTGAGTGGGCACTGCCACCCAGGCCTGGAGGGGATGAGGGTGGGGAAGGGCAGGGCTGAAGGACACGTTGTCTGGGAGGCGGCCAAAAGAGGTGACATGAGGCCTTAATATGTGCCATCCTTCTCCACTATCAGCGTCCTGGCGTGTCAGCACCAAATCCCCGAGGCATCTTCATGATGTGTATCCCACCCCCCAACGTGACAGGCTCCCTACACTTGGGCCACGCCCTCACCAATGCCATCCAGGACTCCCTGACTCGATGGTGAGCTGTCTGCACCTCCTGCTGGTTCCCTCTGCCCTCTCTGGCTCTCTTCTCTTTCCTGACTGCGCCCTCCCGGCCTCTCTTCTGTGTTGGCCCTCAGTTCCGCCTCACAGTGGCCCTACACTTCTCTCTCTAGGTCATTCCCATCTGATCACTAGCATTCTTGCCTCCTCAGGTGGTCGCATCCAGCACACCCACTCACAGACTCTCCTCTTCTCTCCCTTCTCTGTTTTTTTTTTTTGGCAGCTGACCAGTATAGGATCATTTTGAATTTAACAAGAAATATGTGAATATATTCTTATTGTAAGAAATTTAAGTTTGAAGTCTCCTTGATCACCCGCCTCCAGACCCACTTCCTCCCAAGATTTTATCTTTTTTTTTTTTTTTTTTTGGTGGCTGACCAGTACAGGGATCTGAACCCATGACCTTGGTGTTATCACCACTATGTTCAACCAGCTGAGCCACAGCCATTATTATTTTGATGCGTATCTTCCCAGATCTTTCCTTATGTATACATGTACCCATAGAAATTTATAGTTTTTCTTTTGGGTGAGTTTTTCTTTTC